TAGACAGCATGGATGCTCACCCAACTACCTGGACCTAGCCTTTGCTTTTCATTTCCTCTCAGCCAGCTGTGTCTGTGTTCAGGGCCATGCAGTAGAAAATAGGATTAAGGAGATGGATGTACCTGGTCAGGAGTCTTAGGTTCAGGAAGAAATTTCAAAGAGCAAATTGTGCCCCCTAAGTGATCCCACCTGAGAGCAAGCCTACACAGCACTCTCCAAAGGAGCTATCAACTTCCTCTTCCCTAAAGATTACTCTGAAATCATCAGGATAAAATCCAGAACTGCTCCCCACTGGAGCAGATGGGAAAGATGGGGGGCTCTGTTCAGAGGAGGAATATCTTTTGGGTTTCCATACACGGTCTCTGCTTTCAGAACTGCCCCAAATGACAGGATGAGGGGAGGGTAACTTTATTGACAGGAAGCAGCCTGGCAGGCAGAGAGGGCTGATCTTCTTAATGGTGTCTTCAAATCGCCTTAATATAAATCCCCATAGAATAGTCTTACTGGCTTTAATAGGTATGAAAGCAATAGTGCTGCAAAGAAACCAGCAGTGCTTGAGAGGCTGCATTTAAGGTGTTTAACCAGCAATAAAAAATGGTCATTTTGCTCTAGAATTTGAGGAATCCGTAAGAATTTAAGAGAATTATCTTCCTCTTAAGGAATTTGAAATGTCAATTTAAAACATTTCAGAAAGGTTATTATTCTCTGTTAAGCCCTAATGGATTTCTTAGGCTGGGCTATAAATGATCTGCCTTGTTCCTTGGAGTAAGCCAGTTCAGGGTCCTGTCTCTCTGAGCCTCATAGCTTGAATACTTCATTCTGGAAGCATGAATATCATAATATCAATTTTGATTATCATCAAACTTTGCTGTAATTTTTTGTAGCCATCTGTTATTTGGCCTAGAACATAAAATGGTGAAAATCCCTTTTCTTTTTTAACCTGCTTGCTCAGAACTACCAGTTTTTAGAGCACTTGTGCCTTCAAAAAATTAGCATGATGCTACTTACATGGGTAACTGGTGAAAGCAGAAGCTAAAGAACTCATTTGTTGATGGTATCTTGCTCTGAAATTGTACTCCTTGGCAAAACCTTATTTACAACTCTTTCAGCACTTCCCCCCCCCCCCCCCTTAAAAAAACTCCTGGTAATTTTTTTGAAAATCTTTTGGCCAATCACTAAGCCAAGAAAGTAAATTTTCAAATTACTCAAGTTACAAAAAAGAATTTTACAATTTGAAACAGGAACAGTGGCCTGGGTTTTTTCTTGACAGCTGCTCTTCACCTAAAAACAAGTAGCCTATTTGTGTTTACTTATTCATTAATATTGAAAAATAGCACAGTGGGATCAGATGTCTTGTCTGGCAAATGCCCTACTTTTTCTCTATGTTAGCACTTCTCCCTCATCATCGATACATTTATGTTTTAAAAGCCCTCATGGTTCACTTTATTATTATTACTATTGATATAATTTAGCTTCCCAGATAAAATAATTAAGAGTCCAGGCAGGGAAGGTAGCAGTTTAACTGGAACACAGCAACAGTCCAATTAGTTTCCAGATGCACTCTTAAAGTAAATGTTTTTTAGAACTGATCTGGATGAAGATAAATCCTCATAAAGCTCATATTCAAGGTCACCTGGGATCTCTGTGAAATCCCACATTCCTCCTTTATAGCAAGCTCTGAGTGGAAAGGAAGATGCTTGATTTTTTAAAACAGAACCTTGTGAAATAAGGCTTTACCTGTAGTGTAAGGATGCATGCATTGTTTCAGATATCTACATTTTCCAAATTAAACTTCCCAGATTTGTCCCAAGTTGGAGGTTATTTTTCATCACCCTCTTTCCAAACAGTGAGGTCAGACAAGGTGTCCCTCTGATGCTGTGGAGAGCACACATGGCTTGCTCGAAGGGAAGGGGCTAGGGAAACCTTGGTGATGATTATTAGGTATTTGAGTGCCTTTTATTTATTTGCAAGCTGGCTATCAGCCAAAAATGAAAACTCAAACCACTGTTGAGTTACCAGCATAGCCCTGAAATATCATCAGCAAACACTTCAGGGGAACCAGAGATGTTTCAGAAATTAATGTTGGATCATGTTTTTCATTTCTGTGTTGCCATTTGGAATTCTGTGGATAGAAGGGGTGTTTTTTTCCTCTGAGAGGACAGGAATGACAGACCTGTTCACAGGCTGATCAGCACCAAATTTGGAAATTCAAATTCTCCCTAGGTTACAGCAACACCTGTCCTCACGAGATTTGGAGTGGAAGGGTACAAAGTTGTGAAATAAATACCAGAGAAGTTGTCCTGACCCTGGTTTGTTTGCAATCAAAGCCCACCCTGAGATGTTCTGTGAATGCTCAGCAGGATGGTAATGAGGGCAGCAATTGATTGGCGCCAAGAGATCCATTTTGTTCCATTGGGTTCTGCTTGATATCTTAGGGAATTCTCCTTGGAAAAGTAATTTCATTGTCACTTGGGATTTAAATGCTATACTAGATGGTGTTGGACTAAAAGGAATGTCACCAAGCGGCCTTGAGAAGTGTGCTAGAACAAAGAAATGAGAAAATCTGGGAGAAACACTTCTTCCAATCAAAAAGAAAGAGGCAGATGAAATCAAACACATTGTATGTAAACAAAATTTGCTAAGTGCTGGTAGAGTTTCCTAGACCAGTTAAAAGCAGTAAAATTATAGAAATATTTGGAGAAATTATTCAACATTACATACATCTGTGGCTCACAAGTTGAATATTATTTGGTTTAGCTGTGTCTGGAAGAAAGCCCTGGTAGCAGATGCAGCACTCTTTGATCATTCAACAGGAGCCCCCCAAAACTCAAATGACAACCTGGAGGGTTCCTTGGGTGGTGTTCTCCTGTGCTTTGTGCCCAAAGTGATTGGATTGGCAGCACTGAGGAAGGAGATGGGGTAGTATTACCATGGTTTTACAAGCAAGTAGAGAAGATGTAAGATCCTCAGACTAAGGTAAGGAAAAGTATCTTGTCTGACTCTGAAAATTCCCAGAGCTTAGCTAGTCTAGTTGTTGGAAGCAAAAGGATAATTTCAGCAAAAGTTCTTGGTGAGTTGTTAAATCAGGATTAGTCTGAAACGGTCACTGTAATGAAAAAAAAAAATGTTATAGAAATATTCATTGGCATTATTTCAGTGTTTTAGAGTATTCAACAACACCTGCATGTGGTGCCTGAACTGCAGTTGATTCTGTGGGAACTTTTAAACTTTTAAGTAGTTCAAAAGAAGGGAATCCTTATTTGGGCTCGGTTTGAGTGGCAGCCTGGGAGGGAGTAGCTTGCAGCTTTATTGCAGTCACGGGCTGTAATGGTGCTAAGTCATAACTCCTTAGGTGTTACCTTGTATATCACATGCTAATTCGTCTGACACAGTTCTCAAAGAAAATCTATTTCAACATAACCTGCCAGCCGCCTCGTGAAGCAGCTCTTCCAAAATTGCACAAAAGAGCCTGAACCCAAAGGCTGAGATGACGCAACTTTTTAATTCACTCATTGTGACGCTGCAGGAAAAATTACATAAGCCACTGATGACTTTTAAAGCACTTTAGAAAACGAACGTTAAAATTAACCCGGAGCGGGAAAAAAACTCTTTCCGTGTTCCCTGCGACGCGCCCCCCGCGAGGTTCGGTGCGGAGAGGCAGCGATGGCCACAAACACCGCTAGGTGCGGTGGGGATGGGACGCGCCGCGCTGGGAGGGGCGGCGTGTCACCGGCGTGTCACCGGCGTGTCACCGGGGGTGGCAGGGTCGTGTTGCGGGGCTGTGTTTGCGGCGATGTTCGGGGCTGTGTTTGCGGGGCTGGGCTATGTTTGTGGTGATTTTCGTGGCTGTGCTTGCGGTGATGTTTGGGGCTGTGTTTGTGGTGATGTTTTGGGACAGTGTTTACGGGGCGGTGCTCTGTGTTTGCAGTGATGTTTGGGGCTGTGTTTGCGGGGCTGGGCTGTGTTGCGGTGATGTTTGGGCTGTGTTGCAGTGATGTTGGGACTGTGTTTGCGGGTCTGGGCTGTGTTGCAGTGATGTTGGGGCTGTGTTTGCAGGGTTGGGCTGTGTTGCAGTGATGTTTGGGCTGTGTTTGCGGGGCTGGGCTGTGTTGCGGTGATGTTGGGGCTGTGTTTGCGGTGATGTTTGGGCTGTGTTGCGGTGATGTTGGGGCTGTGTTTGCAGTGATGTTTGGGCTGTGTTGCGGTGATGTTGGGGCTGTGTTGCGGTGATGTTGGGGCTGTGTTTGCGGGGCTGGGCTGTGTTGCGGTGATGTTGGGGCTGTGT